GGGTTAGGCCTATAGCAGCATAAACTAAAGAAGATGCGTTCAGGACTCACCTGATCCAGCCCTAAAACTATAAGCTTTATCAAAAGAGAAATGCTTTAAGGCGCCTACTTCTTAAATGTTGGAGAGGTGTCTGGGGCCTTCCCGAACCTACAAACTGGTAGCTGGTTCCATCAGGAGGACACAAGACAACTTCTCCAAACTGCAAAATAAAACAAGGCAGACTGTCTAAAATGAAGGCGCAGGAAACATTCTTATTTTTAACATTTTTTTATAATAAATAATACATTTTATTTAAAGGCGCCTCTCTGCCGGCACTCGAGGACACCGTACAACACATAAAAATAAAACAGTAAAAAACAAGAAACATAAGAAAAGACAACGGTAGATTTAGTTAAACGTGGGGGGTATGCAATTCTTTGAAAAGGGAGTTTTTTAGTCTTGATTTTTTTAAAGAAGTGTGAGGAGAGTCCAGCGTCCTGAGGGTCCGGTGGGAGTGGAGTTCCAGAGTCGGCGGGGGGCAGAGCAAGGCTTGAAAGCCCTGCCTCCAGGGTGACGCCCCCCCCCAGGCGAGCGGAGGGGAAGAGGAGGTGACAGGAGGCAGGCAGATCTGACGGGGAAAGGGAAGGGGTGGCAATGGTGGAGGGAGTTCGGACAGATTAAGGAGGAGAAAAGGTTGGTGGATGGGCCTTTGAACGTAAACAGGGAGGATTTTTGAAGGTCAATGCAGCAGTTTGACCTGGAGCCAGTGAGCTTTGCTTGCAGAACAGGGGCGTTGATGTGGGTGGGATGGAGGGGGTTCTGGTTGATGATTCGAGCTGCAGAGCCTTCTTTTTTATTAACAAAATGGAATGGTAAACAGGGCCTGCTTTTCATTATCCAACACTGGGAACAAGAATACTTCTCTTAAAACTAAAAGTTGTGCAAGTGGTCTTACTTAAAAATAAGGAAACATAATGTCCTAATAATCCCTCTTGGCTGGGATATTTATGCAAAACCATTGGTTTGGGAACCTTGTTACTGGTTAAATCAAGCTCAATATTCAATTCAATTCAATTCAATTCAATTTATTTGTATAGCCGGCCCAATTCATAAACAGAAGTAATCTCGGGAACACTTTTCAAATAGAGCAGGTCTAGACCGAACTCCTTATAAGCATTTACAGAAGACCCAACATTACCACCATGGAGCAAGCACTTTGGCAACAAGTTCGCAAGAAAACTGCCCTTTTTAACAGGGCAGAAACCTAGGGACAGGACCCTTCGGCCTCTAGGTGGGTGCGTCGTTTCTCTCTCGGACCAGTTGGGGGGTGAGAGCAGAGAAAGAGAGACAGAGGAAGGAGGGACAGACAGAGAGACAGACAGGTGCATAGCAACAGTCATTGGTAATTGGCATCCAGCAAGCGGACCAATTTTGGGGGCAGGGGAAGGCTCCACCAGGATCGATAAGAACCTGCAAGGACGATAAAGCACAAGAACTCCTGTTTTGGGAAAGAAGTGAAGTTCAGTAAACCTGCATTAATGCGGACATGAATGCAGCTGCAGAAAGAGACGAGGAAGCAGAGGAAGGAGAAGGAGCTTCAGTGGAACCATGGGAAATTTCCCCCGATAGTCTAGGCCTATTAGCATGCATAAACTAAGGGATCGTTCAGGGACTCACCTGATTCCAGCCCTAACTATAAGCTTTATCAAAGAGGAATGATTTAGCCTGCTAATGTCTTATTAAGGCAAAGTTAGACTATATTTTGTTAAAAGGAGATTTTAGTTTTCGAAATTGTTATAGCATGCCCTTTGAAAATTATTACTATTGGGCCTTTTATTACTTTCTTGACATTCCTTTTTTGGTAGTGTAGAACTAAGGACACCTAACTTGCCCTGACAGAGTGCGGTTGCTTTTGCTCAAACTTCCATTTTAACAGGAAACAGCACATTAAAATGAAGTTGATTTCCAGGTTAATAGATGCTGCAGGTGGGGGGGATCATCAGCAACGGTGGGCTGTTGTCGGAGGGTTTTAGCAGGTGCGGCTCACCAAGCAACTGCTGACCAACATAAGGATCAGAACCACAAATCATCACACTTACAGGTATGTTTGGTAATTTGAAGCCATTTCACATGATTGGCGGTCCAAACTTTGTATCCCCATTGGGAAAGCTGAATTAAATTCTCTTGTGGTTTGACTCCTATTTCAGGTCTTGGAATTGTTCTTAATTGAGCCCTGTAGATTCCCTGAAAATGTGCTCTGCGACTTCCAGGTGTCTCTCTGTTCCGCAGGTTGCGCTAAACATGGAGGAGCAGGCCGCTCTGGTCTGGGCGGGAACTCCCAGGTTTTGGTCCAAGTTCCCGCTTTCTGGCCCTCCACTGTGGGAGGCCCTGCCAAGCAAGGAACCTTTGTAGACACCACTGCTATGGCCAAAAGACGGCGACCCGGTCATCTGTCACACCCTGCCGCTGGCCTGGAGGGCTTTCAGGTACACAGACAGACACAAACATTAGTTAACCTTCAGACCTACAACACTAATGCGGTTATTTGCCGTTTTATTTCTCTTTTGCACTACAGGCACCTACAGGAAGAAAAACCCACCCACAATGGATTTGTCTTGCTATTGACTAAACAACTGCAGCATTTCTGCTGTGCAGGTAGTTAAGGTCGGTGCTAATGGGGGAGGTCGGAGACAAGGTGGAGCAGGAAGGATGTTGATGGGGGAGAAAGGGCCCATCCTGAGGGAGGGAGGGAGGAAGATAGGAGGGTGGGGAGCCAGCTGCTGTGGAAGAAGGGGAGGATGGAGCCCATTCAGCCTCCCAATGACGAGCACAAACTGGGCTAAAGACCCGGACTATCAGCCCCGTCTGGAGCTGTCAAAAAGACTAAAAAAGGCAAGATACGTTTGCGTGGTTTGTCAGTCTTGTTTTCTGGACATGTGAGATGGCTTGTAAATCAACTTAAACAACATCTTGACATGTCTGTCTTAAATTGTCATCAGTTGATGAGGTCTAATGACTTGTTGTTTGTCCAGGGTAAAAAGAGTCGTCTGCGTTACGCTGAAGGAGATAAGGACATGGACGTCAGTGTCTATGATTTTGAAGAGGAACAGCAGGAGGGCCTTCTCTCTGAGGTCAACGCTGAGAAAGTGGTGGGAAACATGAAACCACCCAAACCCACCAAGATCAAGAAGAAAGGTGAGGTACAGCTGTCTGCTGAACTGAGGGCACAATGGGAACAACACAAGTAGTCACTGTTGGATGAAGTTTGATTTGTATTGCCTCTTCTAACTTGGGTTGGCATAAGTAGCTGTTGTATAATCTGCAACAGTTACCACTACAAATGTATCCAGAATTATTCCACAATACCATACTATAATATTGAATCATGGCTTCCCTATCCGATATTAATTTACAATATTACTTTAGTAGTAGTAATAATAATAGTTATCATCACAGACGCATTATTATTATGGCCTTATTATTACTGTGATTAACAGTGCTATCGTAATCTTACTGTGTCAACATCTTATTTTTTTTGCTGTGAACTGACTTGAGTGGGCATATAATAGTGAAAGTAATGAAATCAGAAAAACATTCAGGTTAGTATCTCCTAACTCCTGTGATAATTCACTGTTATTGCTCATCAACTCTCAGTGGCATTGTACCATGATGAAAAGATTGAAGTTTTTGTTTTACATATGTGACAAATTTAGTCTTTAGTCTTCAGTTTTGTGGATGTGATGTTTAGTATGCTGCTGATTTGCACTGAAACGGTGGCTGCTGTTATTGAATGTTAGGTCTGTGTATGTCATTGTTGTGTGTCAGGAGTGAAGAAGACATTTCAGTGCGAGCTGTGTAGCTACACCTGCCCTCGACGCTCCAACCTGGACAGACACATGAAGAGCCACACCGACGAGAGGCCTCACAAATGTCACCTGTGTGGAAGAGCCTTCAGGACGGTCACCCTGCTGAGAAACCATCTCAATACACACACCGGTATACTTTGACACACATTGTCATAAACGCATAGTAGTAGTTTTAAAGCAGTCTGAAGGATTTTTCAGTACCGTGCCAGGATAGCTTACTTGTGTCTTGTTTTTTTTATCTATTCAGGAACTCGTCCACACAAGTGCACAGACTGTGACATGGCTTTTGTGACTAGTGGAGAGCTGGTTCGCCATCGTCGCTACAAACACACACATGAGAAACCCTTCAAATGCTCCATGTGTGACTACGCCAGTGTGGAGGTAAGACGAGTTCCTGAATGCTTTGTTTTACAAAGTTTAAAAGTTGAGTTTAATGTTTTACATTTGCTACACTAATCCCCATCCACATCTACTCCTCCAGTAAAGGATATTCACAGTTCTGTAGCCAGCAGCACCAAGTTTATTCTACACTGTTTGGGAGATATACAACTGCTCTGCTCCAAGAGTCACAAACACTCACTAACTGCAGGATCTTTATGATGGCTGATACATTTTTGTTGTAGTGTTCTGAAGTGTGATTGTGTGTGTGTGTGGGTGTTGTGTAGGTGAGCAAACTAAAGCGCCACATTCGTTCCCACACCGGCGAGCGTCCATTCCAGTGCAGTCTTTGCAGCTACGCCAGCAGAGACACATACAAGCTGAAGAGACACATGAGGACACACTCAGGTAAAACTGACACTGTAACTGCTCTTATATAGCATTATAAAGCAGTGAGGGAGGACAGTGGCGTATGACAGTTGGCAAAGATATTGGACCAGTATTGTTTTTTTATTTTGGGAAAAACCTCACATCAGTTGTGTTTTCATATGAAAAGTTATTTTCTAGCTCACTTAAAAAATCTACTCAGAACAAAAGGAAACCATTCCGCCATTGGTTATTAACTACAAAACTATTCTTAAAATCTATACTTTTTTGGGGGTAATTCATACATTGTGTTTCATACATCCTACCCTGTTGTTGCACAGTCTTTACTAATAGTTCTTTTCAGAGTGTCTGTCATATTTTACAGTCTAAAATCCAGTAATCTGAGATTCAGGTTTTAAAATGACTTTAATATGATTTTGACACGTCTTAAATTGTATTGTAATGTAAAATAATGTTACTTTTTTTAAAGTCTCAAAACAACAAAACAAACTGACATGGAGCCATAATGATTGTCCTTCATATCCTTCATCCTTTTTTTGCCAATATGTACATAAAATAGGTCTTAAATTTGATTTATAATGGTCCTAAAAAGTCTTAAATTTAACCCGTTGAAATCCTGCTTTTGTATTCTTTTATTGTTCTGGTAGATTAGACATGAGAACATTGAACAGAGATGAACCTGTGTACATGCTCAATCCTCTTCTCAGGAGAGAAACCTTATGAGTGCTACATCTGCCATGCCCGATTCACCCAGAGTGGAACCATGAAGATGCACATTCTGCAGAAACACACAGAGAATGTGGCCAAATTCCACTGTCCACACTGTGACACTGTCATTGCACGCAAGAGTGACTTGGGTAACTTAAGCGCGCACGCGCACACACACACACACACACACACATACAGACAGTGTAAACCTGCCAGACAGCAAAGATAGTTTACTTTGCCTTGTTGTTTGAGTTCCTTAATGTGTTTTCTCTCATCATTTGTGTGGATCTCTAGGTGTCCATCTTCGCAAGCAGCACTCATTTATTGAGACCGGAAAGAAGTGTCGTTACTGCGACGCCGTTTTCCACGAGCGCTATGCTCTGATCCAGCATCAGAAGTCCCATAAGAATGAGAAGAGGTTCAAATGCGACATGTGTGACTACTGCTGCCGCCAGGTGTGTGTACACAAATACCTTTGTAGTAATATGTTGGGCTACCATACTTCTAGTAGCAAAAGAGCAGTTTCATTTGAATACTAGGTTTGGGTCACCTAGGCCACAGGTTCCTAACCTTTCTCCTTAAGGGAGCCCTTTTCTATCATTAAGGTGAATAAAGTGACATATTTTATGAATATTTCATATTATATGCAAACAATAACAATAACAATATTTTGATATTTCCTGTGAATATTGATCAGAGAGTTTTCTGGCAACTTTTCATACAATTCTATATACTATGTAGTGTTTTTCTAACAATAATACACATAGGTAATAGGTGTTTTTAGTTTTTATTAGAGCCCAAGCACTAACCGTGCGAAGGCCCTATTGTAATGCAAGGAATTATTTTTTTCTGCAAAAACGTTGTATTTTCTGGGGGTCCACTGTGAAAAATGGCAAGTTTCACCGATGCTGCATAACCAACTGCGCCACCACGTAGATCTTGTTCTCTGGAGTACAAAAATATTTCCCTGCAGTCCCCGTATCCCAAAACCCAACAGGAAAGTCGGCCCCCATCTTTGGATTTAGCGGTCATTTCTGGCGATTTGCAAACAATGTATTTGAATGAAGTCCTGCTAGGAAATTTATCGCATCAACTTCAAATTTAATCAGCGCAATCTAAAGACATTCATGATTAAAAGTTGTGCTATTTACGACATTCCGTCGAACGGCGTGCCCGTGGCCATGAAAAGGGAAGTACTTACAACTTCAGTGTACATGGTCCAATCTCAAGGGAACTTCATATGTTTGATAAGAGTCCCGCCCTGAACATGTTTACATGACAATATTCAGATATAGTGATAGCGCCAACTGCTGGCGGCAGGAAGTAAGTGCTGCGTGCCGATTTTGATCTGATTTACGTCCAACTTTCTTCACCGAATTGAACGGAATCCTGAAATATTGGTTGATGGACGGTATATATTGTTTCTTACACCCCTTAAAATCAAGAAGGCCTCGCAGCCTCTAGTTGGGGTTGGGAACCAATGACCTTGGCTAGTGCTACACTGAAATGATAAAAATCATGTCACAATTATGTTAAACTAAATTAGTCACTAAGAGGACTAAGCAATGCGAACTGCTCTGTTACAAAGTTTACAGTGTTTACCGTTTCATCTTTGTTGAGCGTGTCAGCTAGTAGATGTTAAGTAATCTTACTGTATGAGTAAATTTGGTCTATTCTTGTCTTACCAGAGTCATCCTCTGGGGACCATAACCATCTGTATAAAGTTACATTGCTATCCATCTAAGTTTTGTTGCAGTCTGGACCAAAGTGGTGGGCAGACCGACCGATAGCTCGACATTTCCATCCATAGGACCTTGCCGCTACCATGGCTAAAATGTATTTAGAATGGATGTATCGTACTGTCAGTGTAACTGTGGTTTTTTAATGGCGTTCCATGCTGCTGGGTCCAGGAGCGCCACATGGTGATGCATCGTCGAACCCACACCGGAGAGAAACCATACGCTTGCAGCCAGTGTGAGAAGACCTTTAGACAGAAGCAACTGCTGGACATGCACTTCAAACGCTACCACGACCCCAACTTTGTCCCCACCGCCTTCGTCTGCCCCAAGTGTAGCAAGACCTTCACTCGCAGGGTGAGGACACTGTTTCTAGCTGGCACAGACCTGAAATGAACTTGCACGGGCTAATAACGAATAAGCTATAAAAGTCCACAGACTATCTAACAGTGTGTTCTTGCAGAACACCATGGCTCGCCATGCCGAGAACTGCAGCGGTGAGGTGGAGGAAGCTGAGAATGGAGCCCCAACCCCGAAGAAAGGGAGGAGAGGAAGAAAGAGGAAGATGAGAAGCAGGAGAGATGAAGATGACAGCGGTGAGAATTTGACTTTGTATCTGTGTTTGCTTAGCTCTGATTGGTCTATCTGATTGCTGTCATTGTTGTATCTCTGTCATTCAGAGGAGGATCATGCCGATCCAGACGAGGACGAAGAGGAGGGCGAGGGTGAGGGTGAGGAAGAAGCATCACTGCTACAGGAAGAGGAGGAGGCAGAAAGCATGGAACTGGACCAGGCCCCTGCCGCCATCCCCGTACCGGCTCCTGATGAGCCACCGGTCAAGAGAAAAAGAGGCCGACCCCCAAAGAATGCCCCCAAGCCTGTGACACCCAGCAAGTCAGTCAGGGTGGCTGCAAAGACAACTGCTTCGGGTGAGAACACCGAGGGATTTATTAGAAATAAGAAATATGTAACGTAGTCGCTATTTTAATTGCCTTTAACCTGACTTGTTAGCTATCTTCAAGAAGACATGCAGTAAGTGTAAATACACAGGGACTTTTCTGTGGCAGCCAACACATCACACAGCCTTTCAGTAACTATTGTACTGCAACCTGAATTTATCTTCACACTTTATGGCTGACTAAAGTAACATAACTACCCCTCAAACACAGAGAAAGACTCAGTTCCCTTAAGGAACCGGCACAGGTTACCCATAAGGCCACTTTTCTTAAAGGGGAAGGCTCGGCCAGTAACGCACACAGCGGTGGGTGTGCTAACCAGAAGTGGAGGAAGTATTCAGATCCATTACTTAAGAAAATGTACTGATACCACACTTTGAAAATACTCCACGACAAGTAAAAGTTTAGCATTCAAAAAACCGTGCTACGGTGCAAGTATTACAACAAAATGTACAAAGTAGGAAAAGTAAAAGTAGTGCAGTAAAATGTTCCCCTTCTATGTATGTTGCATTTTCCTGCTGTAGATGTTTAACACTAAGCTCATTGTAAATACTGTATATACAGTTGGATAATTGAATCTACAGCATTGCATCATACTCTATATATCATCATATGTTTGTGCTATGTGAGAATTTACAGTATGTTATTTGGGGGCTTGGTGGTCCGTGGGGCAGTGCGTGGGGCATATTTTATAAATGTCACTTTCTCTTTGCAACTGTTGCAAAGAAATCCCAGCTGCAGTAATTATGTCCATTGCAGTTTTGCAAGGTAAACGGTGTGTACAGTGCTACACAGCAGTGTATTGTACTGCATTGCATTATGATGTTGCCCTGCGCTGTAGCAAAAGTCGAGGCTTCTTTTGTTGTAGCTGATTTTGTCCAGTGCATGTGTGCTCATTAGATGAAAATATACAATTGTAGTCTATAATCAGCCTACAGATAGAGAGCAGAGGTCATTTCAGTCACTGTTTCTGCACCTTCAGATGAAGTCCATTCTTTCCTGTGGCAGGTGCGCCCGGATTACAGCACTAAAGTATGTCTTTGTTGTTGTGTCCTGTAGCTGCTGCCATCATTCAGGTGGAGGATGAGAGCACTGGAGCAGTGGAGAACATTATAGTGAAGAAGGAGGACAGCGACACCTCTGCAGCAACACCATTGGACCAGGGAGTAGCCCTGACTGTGGAGGGGGTGGGGCTAGATGGGGAAGGGGTGGAGACTGTTGAGCTGGCGGTGAATGAGGAAACGGCAGCCGCTAACGGAGACCTGACGCCAGAGATGATCCTCAGCATGATGGACCGGTGAACATGCCACACACATGTAGACGGACTATAAGTCAAATTGGCAAATCCACATTACCACAGCCACATCCTTGGCCTTCACCTGATGGCAGCCAGGAAGTGGCAGCAAAACAACCGTGCACAAAGAAGGGAAGCCACATGTAAATACTTCACAGCCGTAGACATCAACCTGCATACGGATGTTTGTGGGTCTCTCTCTCTCACACACACACACACAAAATACCAGATCCCACTGCACATACTTGTGTCATCACACACAGAATCGTCCAAGCTAACAACAGACTGCTCTCTGCTCTTAAAGGCTGTCTTTCACTTTGAATGTCTTCTGGATGAATCATTGTGTATTTTGCTACTCGTTTCTACCCAAAGCCACATCCTGTGTCAACCTCTGCCCACACACACTGCAGTTTGTGTTCAGCACTCTACAGTGCTCTGCCAAAAGGAGACATTATTTGATCTACCTTCACTTTGATTTTCTGCTGTCCTGCTTGCTGTTCTTGCAATTATGCTGATTAAGCAAATTCCAAGCCTTTATATGTGTGTATATATATATATATAGATATAAATGTAGTTTTTCTTAATGAAACGTAGTATATTGTACTTGAGTTTGCCTGTGAGATACCACCCCCGCTCAATCATATGATCTGCGCCCACTCCCCTCCTACTTGGCCTGTGTAAACAAATGGTCCATGTGGTGTTAATAGTTGGCTGGTTGCACATGGAGTCTTTGTATTGGGACGTTAAGAGGGATTCTTCTTTCTACATGAGCCAACGGGCACAGGCAGATCCAGTCATTTTAATGGCACAGTTTTTCTGCTTTCTAGTTCATCTGTTCAACATCCATGCTGCCAGCACCCAACTCTCAGTCAGCTCATGCTAATCAAAGACTTAAGATAGCTGCTCATTTAGCACCAACAATGTTTGAGATGAAGTGTTCAGCTGTTTTCTATTAACTCCTACCTATCACTGATGGAAGATATTCTCCCTTTGCACATTTTGAAAGAGAAAGTAGATGGTTTGCTATCACATAAACTGAATGATCCCTCTCGGTTGGAAAAAATCCAGATCGTCCTGATTTAGTTGGTAAAACCTTAAAGTGTAGTTGTAATTTTGAACATTCCAAATACTTCAGTTAACACAGAATGATGTCTGTGCATTTGAATCATCTCACTTGAAGTAACCAGCTCTAACATTGTTTTGCAAGCCGTTCTTTATTTTCCTTTATTCACTTCCCAGTTCAGATTGTGAATCACCCACAGAACAATCACTGATCACCAACTGTGGCAGGTGGTGTGCATGTAAATGCACAGTTGAAACCCTCGGCTTTTTGATTTATTGTGAAGCTTTTGTTATGTTTTTAAATCTGGACATGTGTTGGTTAAAAGGGACAGCAAGGTAAACATGTTAGTGCCATAGCTGGTATTCCTGGACCTCTCCATCATGCTTCCCTTCCACAGCTGTGCCCCTCTTAACCAACCACGGAACGTAACCTTGGTAACTAAACTACCAGTTTTCTGGTAGTGGTTGCTCATAGCCATTTTGTATTACAGTTTTTATTTCTGGCCATTCTCTAGTTGCCGCTGTGTTCCTTTGTGGTTGGTTCAGTTCACTAGTATGACCGAAGCTATGACTCATTCTGTCCTCTTTTTTTAACCTTTGGGCCTGAAGGTGTCATGTCACCTATAAAGGAACATGAAGTTGGCATCTTTCTTGTTGTCTTTTCTGACAGGTTTTGATACTGTTTTTGGAAGGATGAGCTGGGTGTTTAGTTTGCTGTACCCTGGTCTTACAGTACCACTAGCCCTCAGCTTTCAGATAGTATCCAATATCAGCTGATACTGAGCTATGTCCTCACCTTTGCCCAGGCCCTCATTTGATTTCTACAAACACAAGGTTGAGACTGCTTGTGTGAGACTCTGAAGATCCTCAAACCAGGGCTAAAAACTCTGAAGTGACAGTTTGAGAAACAATGTTCATAAATGAAATTGAAAATCACTCCGAAACATCACTGACTGTACTGCTGGGTCTGAGATCTCTTTCTGTAAAACAAAAGAAGACAAAGTTCTGTTCTCAGTCTATCATGTTAATGTTCTGCAGGCGGACGGATGGAAGATGGATGTTTGGCTGTTTTGTTTGGGTTTTTTTGTACATCGCTTGTTTGTTTTGACAGAAGAATTGAGAGAACCAGTTTTAATATGGTTTTAAACACCCCCGTTTTAAGACCAAGAAAACAAAAGAAACCTTTGTCATATCATTTTTGAAGATGAGACACTGTACAGCTGATGGAAAATAAAATCATCCTAATGGGCCCATGACTGCTATGCTTCTTTAGTTGTCTCACATCAAAACAATAATAAAACTGTGGGATCATGGGAGTGTTCATGGTTCAGGATGTTTCTACTGGGAGCCCAATTATCCACAGAGGTCTCCTCCTCTCCAAAACAAACAGACCCGCTGATTAAAACGCTAAAAA